CCTCTCTTCTCCTCTCCCTCCTTGTAAGCCGCAGCGCCAGGCAGCTACCCTTTCACTCAGAATTGCTGCCTCCTGAGGCTGCCTGTCAGGATTCATTACATGGTGGTTTGTCCCTGAGAGAGCTTCCCCCTTTTGGTTCCAGAAAGAATTGGCACAGTGCAAGGATTGCCTAAAATAAAGGCAATCCCTGCTTTAACGCTTGATTATCCACACGGACGCATTATAGTTATACTGCACAGTGTCTGGATTTTAAACCCTAAAAGAATTCAGGCTGAGAAAACTTGGATGTAAACCTGACCAGATGTTCTGGATTACACCCTCTGCTGCTCATGTCTATTGGGTTCATAAATTTCAGCTCATCAAGCCGTGAGCTGAAAACTGAAGGCTGTATTTTCCTGCTCCACAGATGACTGTAACTCATCTTAAATATCAGACTTTTTTCCTTCGGTCTGAAATGCTTTGTGACCTGTTTCAGGTACAGAGAAGTGGAAAAAATACAAATAATATAAATTCAATTACAAGAGAAACTTTTATTATAGTATAGTCTCCACCCCCATCGTTCAGCCCGGACGCTGAGGTCCAGCGCCGAGGGCCTTCTGGCGGTTCCCTCATTGCAAGAAGCAAAGCTACAGGGAACCAGGCAGAGGGCCTTCTCGGTAGTGGCGCCTGCCCTGTGGAACGCCCTCCCATCAGATGTCAAAGCGATAAATAACTACCTGACATTCAGAAGACATCTTAAGGCAGCCCTGTTCAGGGAAGTTTTTAATCTGTGATATTTTACTGTATCTTTGGTTTTTATGGAAGCTGCCCAGAGTGGCTGGGGAAACCCAGCCAGATGGGCGGGGTACAAATAATAAATTATTATTATTATTATTATTATTATTATTATTATTATGGCCTCTCCCTCCCTTCCCTGTATTTGAACACCCACTGCCTGAATGTGACATCCCTGTCAGTGTGGTGCAGTGCATTAGTCACTATAATAGCCCTCAGTTCACCCCAAAGGTCATGGTTTCAGTTCCTATTATCTTCCATGCTAAAGGAATTATGAGGTGGTACACCTGGGGGGTGGGTTTAGCTCAGTGTTTTCCATATAGAAGGCCCCTATATACTGAAAGCCACCCATCATGATTTGGAATGGCCTGGGTCTCCCCAAATGCTTTGCAAGTAGTTTGGGCATTTTCTGAGAGATCGCCAAATTTCAGAAAGGCACATCCCCGAATAGCTGATCTGCTGTTACCAGGTCTCTGGATTACCACAACTTCCTCCTACAATGAGCCTCACACACCTCACTTCACCAAACTTTCCAGTTTTTGAGTGGGAAGGAAAGAAAACAGAAAGGGGCAGGCCAAGCAAGCAATGCCGTCATATGTGAGGCTGGAAGAAGAGAAGAAGAGAGAAGAGTTTGGATTTGATATCCCGCTTTATCACTACCCAAAGGAGTCTCAAAGCGGCTAACAATCTCTTTTCTCTTTCTCACCCACAACAAACACTCTATGAGGTGAGTGAGGCTGAGAGACTTCAGAGAAGTGTGACTAGCCCAAGGTCACCCAGCAGGAGTGGAGGAGTGGGGAATTGAACCCAGTTCACCAGATTACAAGCCCACCACTCTTAACCACTACGCCACACTGGCTCTCAAAGAAATTTGGTGATCTCTCAGAAAGTGCCCAAACTACTTGCAAACCACTTGGGAAGACCCAGGCCGTTCCAAATCAGGATGGGTGGATTTCAGTATCTAGGGGCCTTCTATATGGAAAACACTGGATGTGTTATCAGAGCTTGAGTAAAAACACTCAAAGAAAGTATGTGGTTGGGGGGGGCACAGCCTAGGGGAAGGGTCTCAAGGGCCAAATGTGGGGGTGCATTTGGCCCTCAGGCCTGAGCTTCGCCATCCCTGCACAAAATGAACAAATGCTGTCAGTGGTTCCATTAAATCCCTGCCCTCAAAAGCTGGTCCAGTGGTCCAATCTTGGCAGCTTTTGTATGTTCCCATCTATTTTCACGCTATGTCTAGTCTACTGAGCTCCCTGCTGATAGCCGAGTGCCGTTTTCTGCCACCTGCACCTGATCGGAGATAATAGTTGTCTGTCATACTTGACAGCTTGCCAATATGCAGTAAATTTCGAAATGCTGGCAGCCCTCGGTGATTGACAAGAGCCGCAAAATGCACAAACTGTGCCTGACAGCCCATTCCTCCCAGGGGGAGAGACTCTGCGTTCACCATTAGGGGACAGTTGCTTTCCCTGACCATGCCTTGCCCTTCAGTCTCAGGAGTCTTGATGAGGAAGCTACTGCTCAGGTGAACTCTGCTGAGGTATTCTAGTCTTGGGGGCTTAGGCTGGCACTGAGGAAGGGCAGTACCTCAGTGGTAAATGATCCTCTTTGTTTGTGAAAGGTCCCGGGTTCAGTCCTCAGCATCTCCAGATAAGACGGGGAAGAGATCCCAGTCTGAAACCTTGGAGAGCTGTTGCCAGTCAGTGTAGGAAGTACTGAGCTAGGTTAGTCAATGGTCTGACAGGCAGCTTCATGTGTTGTGAGGTGTAAATATTTGGGAGTTTCTAGGAATTAACACCAGCAGTTCATAGCAAGTTTTATACTCAATAAAGTTCCCGGTATGTTTAAAAGAGCTCCTAATTATTGAATTGTTAGTGTTATAGCGACATTAGAATTTCTAAATTAAATATCATGGTTATTGTGTTCTTGTATGGTCGAGGGACATAGTATTTAGCATAAGATAATGCACCATATGATCAGTATGGGAGGGCTTAAATTATCTTCGCATATCCATGCGAAGAAACAGGTAGCACAGACAGTTCATGCAGATATCCATTCACCTTGTTGTGGTCATATGGCCCTGTGGTTGGTGGCATTTTGGGGTCTGCTTGTTTCTTTTAAATATACCAAGATTTTGGTGCCAATTTCCCCCTCCAACAGAGATGCTCTATGGAGGCATCTTATGTATACAACCCCAAAAAATGTACATCAAACAATACCAAAAGCCATATAAATGAAAATAATCAAATAAACAACAAGTCACCCAACTGAAAACAACACAACTCAGAGGCATCCTAACAGGTAATAACTTAGGGCACAATACAAACCTTTCCTGTGCCACGTTTGTGGGGACTGGAGGTGGCAGAGGTCACTCTCCACCTACCGCAGAGCAGCACTGCCAGTGTGGTGTAGTGGTTAAGAGCGGTGGACTCGTAATCTGGTGAACTGGGTTCGCTCCCCTTCTCCTCCACATGCAGCTGCTGGGTGACCTTGGGCTAGTCACACTTCTCTGAAGTCTCTCAGCCCCATTCACCTCACAGAGTGTTTGTTGTGGGGGAGGAAGGGAAAGGAGAATGTTAGCCGCTTTGAGACTCTTTTGGGTAGTGATAAAGCGGGATATCAAATCCAAACTCTTCTTCATCCAAACTCTTCCAGCTGCAGAGTAATGCTAGTGTCACTCCATCAGGACAGAGCTTCCCATTTCATCCCTTTAAAGTGAATAAGCAGAAGCATTGCCACTGGCCTTACGGTAGCCCCCCAAAAGCCCCCAAATGGAGCATTCCAGGTAGGGGAGGGCCCCATTGCCATCGCTGGCATAGCATAGAGCTGTCTCCCTCCCTTCCACTACAGCCAGAATGAGCAATGGGGCAGAAGTTGTGGCACTGGGTTTGCTGCTCCATCATGCCCTACCACTGCCTTGCCTGGGCTGGGATGAAACAGCAGCAGAATTGAAGTCTTTCCATCCTTAAGTCCTCAAATGCCAGCTGAAATCAAAGAGATTTCTTTGGCCAGTGCATTCCACAGAAGGAATGCTGCAGATGAGAAGGCCTTCTTGCATGTTGCCACCATCTGTAAGTCAGAAGACGGTGGCGTGCCCAGTACATCAGATCAGCTTTAAGGATAAACAGATTCACAATGAAGGAAATAGTCCCTCAAGCAGGTTGGACTTCAGGACTTTTTTTTAAAAAAAAAGTTTCTTCATTTTTTACCAACAACCAAAACCCACATAGTGAAACCCCCCAAGCGGCTGATACATTGAGTAGACAGAATCAATAATAACATATTCAAATCAACCATATGTACAATTCTATATACATTAACACTCCTCCCTCCACAAGGTTTATTTAACTTTTAACATTTTAATTGCCCCAAATTGTTCAAACCTACCCAAATAATTCATTATCTTCTCAAACCACTCCTTCTCTTTCTCACTGACCTTAAACCCTAAATGTAATAATGAACAAACCCTGACTTCCACTTTGCAATGGATCATTTATTGGAAGTCGATGAAACTATATTTATTTAGTTATTTTTAATAGTTTTTTTTAAAAAGGGTCATCAGTCAATGCAGGTGGTACAATAAAGCGGCTGCATGGTTTTCAGGAGCAGCTCTTAAACCTTAAATGGACCAAATGAGATGTACAAATAGGAAAAAAATATTATTATTCTTTAATGAATGCCTGCATAACTGTAAAGGTAAAGGTAAAGGGACCCCTGACCATTAGGCCCAGTCGTGGTCGACTCTGGGGTTGCAGTGCTCATCTCGCTTTATTGGCCAAGGGAGCCAGGGTACAGCTTCCGGGTCATGTGCCCAGCATGATTAAGTCGCTTCTGGCGAACCAGAGCAGTGCACGGAAATGCCATTTACCTTCCCGCCGGAGTGGTACCTATTTATCTACTTGCACTTTGAAGTGCTTTCGAACTGCTAGGTTGGCAGGAGCAGGGACCGAGCAACGGGAGCTCACTCCGTCACGGGGATTCGAACCGCCAACCTTCTGATTGGCAAGTCCTAGGCTCTGTGGTTTAACCCACAGCGCCACCCATGTCCCTGTGTAACTGTAGCCAGGTCTAATACAAATGGGGATTCAAAGAAGTGCTGGACGTCACGGACTGTGCATGACTAGATTGGAAGTCACATTTCCTTTGTACAAAAACTGTGCATTCTAAAAGATACCTCACCCACAACTCAGAGTAACCCCCTCCCTCTCTTTTATTTCACCTGTTAGGATACTCCAAAGCTGTTCCAGGAATCCCTACTTCATATGCTGCTGTCTTAAGGCTCAAGTCTGCCAGCTCGTCATACTCCTCATCGGCCCTTAACTCGAAGAGCAGGCAACGATCAAGCAGCCCTGCTTTGGGAAGCATCTCTTCGCCAAGCTGGCAAGGGGCACCACAACATTATCACTCGCCGACAAACCTCTATCACTTTGCAGAGGCCTTCAAGCATGATGGTATGATTGATCTCCTCCCCGCCCCCTTGTGGGTCTTTCAGAGCATTATTTGACTGTGGGATTGTGCAGTCATGCTCATCTGATGTCCCAGCAACCAAGTTCCTGCTGTTAACCTGGAAGGAGAGGTGAAGGGATGAGAAGGTAGGCGTGGTGCAAACACGCTGGTATGAACTCCAGATTGCCTCTGCCAATTCTGGCCAACTTCCCTTGTGCGCCTCCTCTGTTCTTCCTGGTAACTAGCAACAACTCAGCTGCTGGGAGGTCAGGTAAGCCCCACTGCCCTCACCAAACCACCCACAACCTTAGTGAGAAAACATAGCTCTAGGGTTCTATTTTAGGTCTGTTGTTTATTTTATTGGGATTGTTTCTGAATCTGCCACTAAATTTAAATAAACAACATGCCGCCAAAAAATAATAATAGATAAAATAAAAGCTTTTTCTGTAAATCTGTAATCTTAAAACAGAAGCTTTCGACATATTTCCTAAGGTTCTTTTCTTACTGAAGTCAAAGTAAGGTAACTGTGGAAAACCCAACATGAAATGAAATTGCATTACAACCTAACCTGCTCTATATTACTTATGCCAATATCTTTAAAAGTCAATACAGAATGGGTTAGGAAACTATTATATTTCTCCTTTGCACCAATATTTTTCAGACTGACTCCAGAACACTAGTTCAGTAGTTTGCAACTATGAGCTTCTATTTATCAAACTAATTTTATCATCAATCAAATGTGTTTTATAGAAGTCTTCTGTAATGAGCACCTTCATATTTTTGTCCAGTGTAAAAATCCTTAAGATGATAAATATCATCCAATACATATTATTTAGGGTGACTTCTCTCTCTCTTGCTTTCTTTAGGGATGCAGCTTAATCATATCATCACATTATTTATATCAATAGTCCTCAAAGCATCCATATGCTATGAAGAAAAAGTAGAATAGATAAGGTCAAATTAAAATCCAAGCAAGGGAAAACCAGAAAGAACTGCCCTCTGTTCAAGTCCAGCACAGTGAATATGAATGTGATTTTAAAAATATTTTGCAGCCTCTATTTTTATTACTTCATTTGTGTGAACCTTTAAAATTCATTACTGCATTATTTCAAAATGCACTTCAATGCCTGTGGTTGTAAATGAAGTGGTCAGACCACGGACAATGGCCTGGACAAAAATAGAAGCAATTTGCCTTAGCAAATAAGATTGGTACTATAGATACTGTGCAAACAATTTCTTCTCCTCTCCCACAAGGTTACTGTGGTCAAGAACTTACTATGAGACAACAATTTAATGCTCTGGAAGCTGGTGTAAAGCAAGCTGGAACAAGTTAAACTAGTATCAAGTTGCACCAGATCCAAACCCTGTTCAGCAGTGGGGCTGCTGGTACTTCTCTGCCTAAGCCTGGTAGAGGGGAAACAAGCCTTTAATATACTGTTCTAGTCCTGGTTGCCAGATCACATGACTCAGCTGAGTGGACCTAGGATCCAACCTGTTCCCTCTCTGGTCCCGCGCCTGTCATGGCCCCAGAATACCCCTTTTGTTGGGAACTTACTCTGGTTTTGCTTTAGCTGGCTGAGCTGCAGAGAGCCAGCACATCTTGGGCTGAGCTGGGGTTGGGGACTTAAAGCCAGCTGGGGAATCAGCCAGCTGAGCAGGTGATCCATTGCTTACTAAGGTGCCAATGACAGCAGATCTTGCCAAAGGATTGCTCCCCAAAGCTCATTTGGTTTTGATGCCTGTAAAACCATTTTTGTTTAAGCAAGTCTACCCAGACATGCAATTTTATCTTGTATATTTGTTTTTAGACTAGTGATTTTGTCTATATTTGATAATTTTATTATGTCCACTTGCTTTTGATGTCAGTTGATTTTATCAGGACTAATTTGGAAACATTTTATATTATCTTTGGTAACCTGCTTAGATTTTATTTTTTTTAAATGAAGCATTATGTAAACAAGTCACTAGTACGACAGCAAGCTAATAAACTACAGCATATTCTTGTTTGCTTGAGAACCTGGAGAAAAAATAGCTTTGATTAGTCATCTAGAAAGGTATTTCAGATGGTCAGAATACCTCACAGGTCATAGGTATTTGTGGATGAACACCTCTCTGCTCAATCTGAAATCAGTAACGTGCAGAATCTCATTTTATATTTTGAGCTGTAGAAGGACATTTCAGGTAAATGAAGTTAGATTTTTTTCAAACCAATTTCCCCTGCCCCATGTAAATACAAGAACAACATATAAACACAGTAACTTGTCCAGTGGAACATTCTTATATGCACCACACAGTAAAACAAGCAATACATTTATTTATGCATTGTCAATTCAAGTGTCCTCTCCACAGAGTTTTTTGTGTTGTGGGTGGAATAAAAGTAAGTTTGGTTTTTTTATACATTTGAGCATTAGGAACTAGGCATTTAATATCCCCAACTAGGCAGCTGTGGCCTTCAGTGATACTCTATTAAGTGGTTTAACTATTAAGTTGTTTTTTTAAGCAAACACGTTCCCACATAGCCTTATCAGACTGATAGGGAAACTGTGGCCCTTCAGATGTTGCTAACTCCAACTTTCATCAGCCCTAGGTAAAGGTAAAGGGACCCCTGACTATCAGGTCCAGTCGTGGCCGACTCTGGGGTTGCAGCGCTCATCTCACTTTATTGGCCAAGGGAGCCGGCGTACAGCTTCCAGGTCATGTGGCCAGCATGACCAAGCCGCTTCTGGCGAACCAGAGCAATGCACGGAAATGCCGTTTACCTTCCTACCGGAACGGTACCTATTTATCTACTTGCCCTTTGACGTGCTTTCGAACTGCTAGGTTGGCAGGAGCAGGGACTGAGCAACGGGAGCTCATGCCGTCGCGGGGATTCGAACCGCCGACTTTCTGATTGGCAAGTCCTAGGCTCTGTGGTTTAACCCACAGCTCCACCCGCGTCCCTTTCATCAGCCCTAGCCCTAGCTAATAAACCACAGGTTTCATGTTACTGCCATAAGGCTATGGAGGGACATGTTTGCTTACAACAGAAACAGCTGTACCACTTCAGTGAGGAGAGCCGTGGCATTATGTACATCTGTAACCCAGACTAGTCAAAACGAGTACATCAGGCTCTTCAATTTGAAGCAGCTGGAGAATTTTGTCTGTTTGTTTACAATTTTCACATCCTGCCTTCCTAAAAAAAAACAAAAACAATGTTCAAATTGACTAGCAACATTCATACAACAAAAAAGGGGGGGAAACCACTATAAAAACAGGTGGCAGATACAAACACCAGGTAATATAACAAAATATCACAAAGCTCTCAGAGTAAATATACCATAAAAGGCAATTGCAGCAGTTAAATATCTCTAGGTTCATGAACAAAATGAGTTTTAGAGAGCTTCCTCTTAGAGCTGAGTCCAAGAATGCCCATGGAATGACAACACAGCATCCTTACAAGCAATACCCTGTTGGCAGGAATAGTGGTTGCAGGATCTGTGGGTGGGAATAAGGTAGACAGTGGTGGACTGCCCAGTAGGCCTCTTTCCATATATCCTATACAGTGGAACCTCGGTACGCTTCAGGTTACAGACACTTCAGGTTACAGACTCCGCTAACCCAGAAATAGTACCTCAGGTTAAGAACTTTGCCTCAGGATGAGAACAGAAATCGTGCTCCAGCGGCGCAGCAGCAGCAGGAGGCTCCATCAGCTAAAGTGGTGCTTCAGGTTAAGAACAGTTTCAGGTTAAGAGCGGACCTCCAGAACGAATTAAGTACTTAACCCGAGGTACCACTGTATTCCATATCCCTATAGTTCATTCTTGGCAGAGTTTGAGTTCCAACAAATATCAGGGTAGTTATTATTATTCATTACTATTTATTATGTTTGTATATCTCAGTGGTTGTCTTCCAGGGCAACGATCTCTCTCTCCCTTTTGAATGTTTGGTAATCTGCTGTAGGAAAGCATCATCCAGAGTCTTCAGTCTGGCTTGGAGATCTATAGCAGACACCCATGTGTCTTTTAAGACACTGCAATATTTTTAAATATTTTTTTAAAGTTGCTTTCTGTACACATTACACTGAGAATTTCAGAGCTAATTAAGAGATCAGACTGTCTCTTTCCCCAGTAATGAAGGTTAATTGAAAGACCCTGAGGAGGAATCACCTGACGTATAGACAGAGCAACAGTAAATTGAAGGCAAATATCCAAAGAATGAGTACCAAAGTGAAAATGATGTGTCAAACAACAGAGAGCACCTGATTTCTCTGAGCCGTCTTAGCACTTATCTTTTCTTTCTTTCTTTTTTACTACATGAAAAGAGCATGTGCTTCTTTCTAATGAATGAACCTTGCTTTTGTCTATATCAGAATTATTCTGAGAAATGCTGTAGGACACTCCTGATGAGACTCCAACTCCCATCAGCCCCAGGCAGTGTGAACAATTTTAAAAAAGCCTTGTGAGATCAGGCCAGTAGCCTATCCATTCCAGGATCTTGTTCTTGCAGTGGCCAACCAGATGCGTGTGGGAAATTTGCAAGGAGACCCTGAGCACAAAGAGCATTCTCCCGGGGCTTCTAGCAACTATTATTAGAAGCACTACTGTCTCAGATTGCGAAGACAATGCACAGTCATCAGGCCTAGTGGCCATTGACAGCCTTTCCAATGAGTTTGTCAAATCCTCTTTTTAAAGCCATCCAATTTGGTGGCCATTGCTGCCTCCTAAGGGAGCAAGTTCTATACTTCAGCTATGGTATGTGCTGTGTGAAATGGTTCTTTCCGGAATCTTCTGACATGCGGCTTCATTGGAAGTCAAACATAGGCAAACCTGGCCCTCCAGCTGTTTTGGGACTACAACTCCCATCATCCCTAGCTAACAGGACCAGTGGTCAGGGATGATGGGAATTGTAGTCTCAAAACATCTGGAGGGCCGAGTTTGCCAATGCCTGGTCTATAAGACGCTCCCATGTATTGAGCTTTGGGGGGGAGAATTGACCAGAGTTGTTGGGGTTTTTTGAGGGGTAATGCCCACAGTTGTTGAGCAATTTTTTTGGGGGGGTGGGAATGCTGAACCAAATATCACTCACCCAACGGGCAAACGCGAACAATCACAAGCGACGCAAGGCAAATTGCGGAAGCGACAGCCAATCCAAAGCAGCCCAATCGCTAGATCCTGCTTGCGGATGTAACCAATCACCCATCCTCCCTCTCCACTACCCATGTATAAGACAACCCCCCCTCCCCATTTTTTACTTTATTTTGGAGTAAAAAACCCTCGTCTAATACATGGAAAAGTATGGTAAATATGAGGTTTTCAATTCATTCAGAACGTCAGCAGTTTCCACAAGGCAGGGTGTGTGTGAGTGAAGGAAGCTTTTGTGGGTACCTTCCACAAATACCTTCTGCAAAAAGGAAAACTAATAAGCACAGAGGTATATTTAAAATTGACAGAGTCCCGGGAGACACACCATTGTGACAATAGCAGGTACTGACGTTGCCGAGTTTCAGAAATTGGTTTTTATTATTATTATTTTTATAAAAAATACTGACAGGTGTTTCTAAAAGTCCTGATGAAGAACAGGAGGGGGAATTCTGCCCTTGGGAAATTATGGTCGTAAGTGATGGCATATGCCTGTCTATATCTATTTCTCAACAGATCTGTCTTTGTTAAGGGATGTCTTTGATTTATTATGTATCAACATCCTTGCCGTGACTCTTTATAACCTATTAATATCCCTTCCCATTTTACATTCTTGCTCACATATTGGTGTGAAAGACAGAGAATAAAAGTCGATAAGCAGGCAGCTTGGAGAATTTTGGAGCGGGGGTAGAGAATTAATTCTTGTCTACTTATTTAATGAGTTGTAATTCTGGTTTTGCCTTTTTTAAAAATAAATTCTAGTTTCCCACAGGCTACCGTGAAAACAGGATGGACTATTGGTCTGATCCATCAGGCTGTTCCTACATTCTTATATTCTTAACATAGGACGGCATTGGGGCCAAAAGATGGCAGCTGATTCCTCTGCTTTAAAAAAACCTCTTGGATAATTTCCAACCAGTCACCATCAGTCAGTGTTTGAGGAACAGCATCACCAAGCCTCTCAGTGCTTGAGGGTATAAACCTGCGGTCCTAAATGTGACCTATAGGCACAATGTTGCCCATCAACCTCCCCTTTTGTGCACAACAGCCTTCTGCACCCCCCTATTTCTTATTTTTCATGAGTTATTCTGTGGTAGTGGTGGGGTTAGCTGGTTTATCTGGCCCAGCTTTCTGCTTCTTTGTTCTCAATGGGAGCCTGTGAGACACTGGCACCATCTCCTCCAGATGTTTGTGTTGTGAACCACCCTGAGATCTACAGATATAGGGCAGTATACAGATTTAATAAACTCCCAACAACCTCAGCCAGGACAATGGTCAAGAGGGGCCAATCCTTCTCCTCAGCCTTGAAACAACCATGTGGTGTGGCAGAGAAGAAATTAAATTTATCAAAAGAGTATTTTCTGCCCTTAAAAATTAAGAATAATCATTTTCAGTCTCCTCCTGAACTGTTAAAGAATTCCCATCATCTCCTGGAAAATATTCGGCAAAATGTTCTCCCAAATTTCCCTTCCGTGAATTTTTGGGCACAAATGTTGATCCAGTTTTAATATCTTTCAACATTATTTGACTGTTGTTGAGGGAAGAAAATGGCTTCACGCCTACGCTTCCCAGTTCAGTCACTGAACATTGAGCTGAAAATTTGGAAATTAAAAACTGTGGGAGAAATCTACCACTCTCCCTGCCTCAAGAATGCTGAGTACCCCTCTAGTTTTGCCACCCATAAATATTGTGGAGCAGCTATTTTGACTCAGCCCTAAAAGGAAAGAAAGAAATTTCTCAGAATGAGTGTTAGAACACTTTTACTGAGGATGATCTGCACCAGTGATAAGTGAATTCCCCTCAACTAAACTCAGAATTGAGTCAGCAACTATGAGCACTGTAGAAAATCACTTTAGGGAGAGGGAGGTGAAACTATTTTCAATAGGAACTCATAATTTTTTATACTGATTTGCTTCCTTTTAGGACCCATGCACATTCCCACACTACCAATTTAGAATTGTAGCATGGGGTGAGAAATAGTCACTTGTTCAAAAGGAATTATAATTATAATTACAGTTACTACTACTACTAAAACTGCCAGAGTCATGCTTTAAAAGTCACATTAACATGCTTCTTTCCTGAGACCATGACTGGCTTTTCCAACTCAGAGAGTCCCGAGCAAACTGGTTGCTCAGAGAAAAAAGTATTGTTCTTAAATTACATTCCCATTTTTTAAAAAGAAGAAAAACACATTAAAGTAAATTTCAGCAATCAACCATCACTTAATCAAGAGGAAGGGATTAGAGTGTTCCACTTCAAAGAATGAGCAAGCTTTCAGCACCTTAGTCAGTCTGAGAAATGCAGATGGCGGAACCGTGGAACAAAATTAGCACAGAAATTCGAAACGACCTTGCTTTACATTATAAAACAAGAGGAAGAATTTTGGGGCAAGGGGGCTCTCCCCAGAGTACATCCTGACTTTATGAGTTGGAGGTGGAATAATTCCATGCACATCAATTTGACATTTTGATGACATCACTCATCCTGAGTGGAGTCCATAGGACGGCTGGGTGGTACTTTGTATGCAGGGTAACACCTGCAGCCAAGCTGGTGCCAAACCTACTGCTCTGCTTTCTTTTGGACCACATAAGGAAGGCTGAGAGCAGGGTTTTGTCAGCCCAGGACCTCCAGACGCACTGCCCAGGCTTATGTCTTGGGGAAGTCAGTTCAGTGCTGCTAATGAAGTGGTTTGACATCACTCCATTGTCTGTTGAGAAAAATAGAGACCAACAACAATGTGTGTGTGCTCTCTCCAACACATATGTTTAGTAGTAGTAGTAGTAGTAGTATTTCCACTGTCAATAACAAAATGTTTTAACAATCAATCTCTTTTTAAAATATATATATCTTTATTAATTTAAAATAAATACATTTATGAGAAAACAGACGTACATACAAGTAAACAAACATACAAACAAACAAACAAATAACAGAAAAATCAAACAAACCACCACACTATAAGATACAAGAAGATTAATGTAATTATCATCATATATACTCCTGATACCGAACACAATTATAAAACTTATAGAGAAGAAATTTAAAACTGACTTCCAATTAATTTCACTGTACTTTATCTATCTATTACTTTATACAGCACAGTTACATATTTCTTATATAATTTCTTTTTACCTCCCTACGAACTTATATTTATACAATACAGGGATCAGTCTAATTCTGCTTTTATTTCATAGTTTTCAATCAATCTCTATTCATGGAGAACTCTGGGAATTGTAGCTACATGATAGGGTTCTCTCTTAACAACTCTCACCACCCTTAACAAACTACAGTTCCCAGGGTTCTTTGAGAGAAACCCATGATGGTTTAAAGTGGTATCATAGCAATTTAAAGATATGGTGGGAATGTGGCCAAACTATGCGATAGGTTCGTCTTTCACCTGTAGCAGTAAGAAAACCAGTGAATCTCATGACACCTTAAAGACAAATGCATTTGCAATGGCAAAAGCCTGTATGTTCCTAATGCTTTCAAGCTTGTGCGTGTTGCTGTTTTTTGTTTTTACTTTAAGTTTTAATTAAAATAATTGTAGAATACAGTAAGCTTGATTCTAGACAGTCAGTAATAAGGTGCATGTTTCTGGACATAAACTTCAGTACTGAATTTGATGGGATTTGTTCCTGAGGAGGCTCATAACTAGAACCTCCACCTTTTAAAAATAGCAAGCTGTATCTTTCACATGAATGGATTTTCAGGGTTGTTACCTATTTTGTCTGTGGTGCTGTTTTCAGATGTCGTAAGCCACGCTGCTCCTTTGAAGATGGGTGGAGCAGAAAAGTAATGGAAAATAAATATCTGCAGATGTCTTCCTATGAGTCTCCTGTAGATAGATTGCTGATATTCATATCTGTAATTTCCTAGCTACCCCCTTCATGCTCCTATGAGGTCCCAAATTGACAAGGATTGATCTGAATCATTATGTCTGCTGAGAAACAGAAGAGCCCAATCATGCAAACACTTATGCACAAGGGTATTTTGGTGCATAAGTGAAAATCTTCCAAATTAGCAGATGAAAATCGTTGGCTTGTTTAAGAGCATCCATGTCACGGGAATTAGACACCAAAAGTTACGAAGCAAATTATTTGATCATTATAGAGCAGTGATTATGCAAAGTGCTGTAAAAAAGCTTTACCTTGTTCCTGGATAGTTAATGTTGCCATTTCCACCCTCCTCCTGAGTCTGAGTAGCTGTGTGAAGGAACATGCATGTATGAACCATGTCTGAAATAACTCAAGTACCCCCCCCCAAAAAAAACACACCTTACTGTACAAAGCTTTCACTCTGACCTCTGGAAAAAAATGTCCTTTCTCTCCTCACAGAGAGTGTCGATTATGGGCCGGTGTTTATACAAGAGCCTGACAATGTAATTTTCCCCATGGATTCAGATGAGAAGAAAGTATCCCTCACCTGTCAAGCACGAGGGAACCCAGCACCAACCTACAGGTAAAAAACAAAATGCTTGCCGGATTAATTCTCCCTGGCTTGGTTACTTAATTGATCCAGAAGTATTTCTGAAATATATATGTGGCTTTGTGCCCTTGTTACGTACTCTTCAACTGTTTTTTATAATTAAAAAAAAAAAGCAGGTGATTTTGACCATCGATTTTCTGCGTCGTGTCTAATTGTTTCACAAAAAGGTTATGTTAATTACACAGGTATGTAATGTGATCCAGAGGCCTGACTGGCCTCAGCAAGAAACTGGGCATTTAATGTCACTGTTCCCATGCTCTGGAATGCTCTTCCATCAGAGATCCGGAAGACATCCTTTCTGTTGACCTTCAGGAGTCTCATGAATACTTTTTAAAGCTGGTGATTTGTACTGATTTTAATGGTGTTTTCTGCTTTATTGTTGACCGCCATCATGTTATTTTATGATATTGGCAGTGCAGAAATCCTTTTATCCATATAATAAATAAATAGCCTTCTTCAGGTTTTCAGATAACATGCTAAGTTAGCAGATGAGAGGGGGCAGCACTCTAGTTCCAAATGCCCTCATTGCCGTTTCCATCACCTTCCATTTCATGGAGGTTGACTATCTGAAGTGAGGAGCTTCCTGGAATCAGAATCAACAGAACCGCAGAGTTGGAAGTAACCCAAGGGTCATCTAGTCCAACCCCCTTGCAAAGCAGGAACCTCTTGCCTAAATTGGGGCCCGAACCCATAACCCTGAGATGCAGAGTCTTCATGCTCTACCAATGGAGCTACCAGAATATTAGGATTCTCTGTCTCTTTTGGTCCATATTGATTAGTTTTCAAATTAGGGTAGAATCATGAAGATAGGTGAAGAAAAGCAAAGATTTCTTTTTTTTTTTTAGAGTTCTAAATGCACGGGGAGCAGCCACAAGTACAGGAAGCATCACGCTTCAGAAGGTCACTCTGAGTTGGAAGGCAGCCAGATTGGTAACAGGGGATGGTGATTTTCTTGAGTGTTAGCACACTTTCAGATAGCAACACCTGAAAAGCGTTGTTCTTACAATTACCTCAACACTGTGTTTACATCTTCTACGGTGCCTTGAAATGGACCCCTCTCAGACCACTTTCTCTGCTTTCCTCCCAAGATGGCTCCGGAATGGAACGGAGATAGACACCGAAAGTGATTACCGGTACAGCGTGATAGAAGGGAGCATTATCATCAATAACCCCAGCGAAACAAAAGATTCTGGGCAGTATCAGTGCTTTACCACCAACATGTTTGGCAGCATATTGAGCAGAGAAGCTACACTTCAGTTTGCATGTGAGTAGCCATACACTATTCATCTCCTTACCATATATTTTTTTTATCATACAGATTTGAATAATGATATTATACCACTTCCTGAATAATGAAGGCTTTGCACTGGGAAGAGTTGGAACGATTGTAGCATCTGGTCTGCCTGCCGTCAGCCATATCTTGCATCTCCTAAGTAATTGGCTTCCCATGGTCTCAGTCAGGGCCCAGTTTACAACTTAGCTGGATTATGTAGGATGCTGGAAAAAGCTTTCATATAATGACTACCCCATACAGCCACCCAAACAAGTACTGTGGTTTGTTACAGGTTTCTTATACGTGGTGGTTTTCTGTAGTTCTGTTGCCATTGGTGAAGAAACGCTTCATGTATCAAAGAAGAACTATATAATGAAATACCACTTTTCATGTTATGACAGTGGCATGGAGAAGCCTGTGTCAAGGCCAGAAAGGCTGTAGCTCAATGGTAGAGCATCTGCTTTGCATACAGAAGGTCCCAGGTTCAGTCTTCAGCATCTCCAGGTAGGACCAGAAGAGACCATGGTCTGAAATCCTGGAGAGTCATTGCCAGCCAACGTAGTCATACTGAGCTATATTGACCAATGGTCTTACTCAGTATAACACAGCTTCTTATGTTCATATCAGACCTAAGACCTGCTGAAATATTGGGGTTCTGAAATGTCCAGGGAGCTTCCAGAAGCAAAGGAAACCACCCACTTCGGAAGGTCACCCTCCATGAGTTGGAAGGCAACTAGACTGGCAAGAGTTAGCGGTTTTCATGCTGCTCGAGATAAAAACTTTCTCAACCTGAAGCCTGGCTGTCAGATGGTGGTGTGGTTGCTTGAGAGCAAACAGGCAAGACTCCGACCTGTCCAGACTTTATTATTAGTGCAAACTATTTACAGTGAAGAGCGTTGCAAGTTCATGTCTGGTTCAGTTGATAGCAGAATCTGGGAGTGGTCGGTCCTTGTACCTCCCCCAGCATAACAGTCGCGTGACCCCCAACCTTCTCCTCCCTTCCCTGCGCCGAAACCTATTGCGCAGAGTGGGCGCTGACAAAGGGGTACTTCCGTCCTCTCCGGCTTGCTCAGGGTCAGTGTTGAGGCTCTCCCTAGCATCCCCTGGTCCCACCACCTCCTCTCCGCTGGAGGTGGGGCTTTCCTCCTCGCCAGAGGAGGAACTGCTTCACAAGACTTTCAGAGGTTCCCTATAACACAACTGCCCTTCCACCTCTCGACTCTCAGTTGATGGCAGTTCCCTGACACTGCCCATATAACATTTTCCTTTCTTCACTCCCCCCACCAACCAAGGGCATAGAGACATTCTGCAAATCATCCCTCTTGAGGTTCTGAGTGGAGCAAGCAGGTTCAGTTAGAATTTACATATTTGGGACTTAGGTGGTCAAATAATGAGCACAGTTTCCCAGTGTCTTACTGGCCACTGTTAGTTCCCCATGCCTGGGAGTAGAACAATGCAAAGCTGCCATATGGTAACTTAGCAGGGATCTACTATCCCAGGAGAGTCCTCACAGATAGCTCCTCCTCTTTGCTGTTCATCTGCTCAGTCCCAATGCACACCTGGTTCTTTTCCAGCTTCCCCATTTCCCCAACGAGGCAATGGTTAAGAGGTGAAGTCCTCTGCTGGTTCTGAACTGCTTGCTGGGCCTGAAACCACCTTCACTCTTGTGGGGCTATAGGTGAAAGCAGGGAACATGGAGTAAAAGCAGGGGTCCAGGCGTGGGGTCTTTGGTGGGACAAACAAAATTCTTTGGGCTGGATAACTCAGCTGCTTGATTCTCTCCCTCCCCTGATGGCACCACAAAGCAGGGAGGAAACAAGGAAGTTCTTGCTTATGATTTTATTCAGCTGACACGGTGAAAGACAAGAAATCCAGTCATTCCTCAATGATGGTGTTGCTCACACTGAGCTCCCCCCCTTCCTTTCTAGCAACAACACCTGCCTCTATGGCGTTCATCCATGGACAATTGTCTCTGTGCCCTTGGTTCTTGCACCCTTAAGGAACACCTCATTTTGGGAGAAGGGGGGTCAGTTATGCTGTTCAGTAACATGTCAGCTAGCTGCTCTGCCTCCCTTCCTCCTTCTCCTAACACCACATAACGCTGCTGCCTTCTTCTTCTCTGGAAGCTACAGGAGAAGGGGGTGTGATCCTCACCACTCCTCTTCCTCTTCAGTCCAGTCCCTGACACAGAGTCCCTTATGGTGCTGGAGGTCTATACAGAATCCCAGTTCTATTTCTTGGTTCAGGTCTCCACTCCCCAAATTATGCTCTGGCTAGATTCTGACACTCAGACAATGGCCTTGTGCTTTCTTCCTCTCTTGACCAGTCCTGTTGCGATTCATATATCCCAGCATTTGCCATCTTCCTCTTGAAACAGAAGGCATGGGAAAGAACTTTTTTTCAGAGCTCTGAAGTCCTCGAAAATAACAAATACTCTCACAAGATACGGTAATTTGTAATGATGTGTAGCGATCCCCTCTGTAAAATTGTCACTGTGCCATATGAGCTTATTGCCCTGCTGATAAGGTCTTTGAATTGATAATGTGACATCTCTGGCTTCCCTTGCATCCTGCTGAGTTTAGAACTTGAAAACTGCTAGCAATTTATCAAAAGTTTAGAGTCTCACAACTGTGCATCAAACACGAGCTGAATGGGGAGGGAGGCAGGATCCCAGGTTTCCCCATGCTGTTCCTACCTTCAAAGTCTCTATATAGTAACTCTACTAAATTGACAGAGTGTGTCTAAATATAGAGCACAGCGCTTTCCAAAGCATTTGGATGATTAAGGCTGCAAGTCTATATACGGTACACCTTTACCTGAGACCATGTTGCATTGGGAAAGAACCTTAGTTCAGGGGTAGAACAGCTGTTTTGCATGCAGAAGGGTTCCAAGTTCAGCACCTGGAATCTCCAGGAAGACCTGGAAAATGCTTCTGTCTAAAACCCTGGAGAATTAGATGGACCAATAGTCTGACTTAGTTCGAGGCAGCTTCCTTTGAACTCAGTGGTGATATTCAACTCTTGCACTAATGCGAGGATTAGCACAGCTGCAATGGGATTTTCTCCCCCGCTTCACCCTATGTGTGCCCTTTACTGTCCCCAAGATCTGCTTTGGAGCATTGGGAGGAAAGCTTAAAATAGATTTAGGAGGTACACAGGGGAATTTTCCACTGCACAAGGATAACTTCTTGCACTTACAGAACATTGATTATGTGGCATACAACCCATTGCGTCTAACGCTTAATAGGCATATGCAAGATTGCGTTGTTCAAATCAGCACATTCATTTAGGCTGCCCCGTCCTCCTCCATAGAGGCATAAGGATTGGGATGATTTTATTCAGGACTCTGCAGGGAAGTGCAGTTAGACAGGCATGGTGCTCTAAATCTGTCCCACAAGCAAAAGTCTCTTGTGTCTGCAGAACAGGAATGTTGGATAATAGTGATATTTCTAAAAATGCCCCACCTTGGATTTAGGGGATCAGAATTGCTTTGCCGTCATCACAGATCAGCACTGGTGTTCAGGGAAGGATGAGCCACAGTTCCAGCGCTAGAGCATCTGCTTTGCATGCAAAAAATCCCAGGTTTGATCCCAGGCCCCTCCAGGTAGGGCTCGGAGAGGCTCTCGTTTGAAACCCTGGAGAGTTGCTACAATATCAGTATTGTAGACAATATCAAGCTGGATGGACCACTGGCATTTTCCTATGTTTCTGTGAACCAGCTGGCTTTTCTAGAATTTGCAAAGACTTCTACAATAGCAGCAGATGTGTCTGGTTTGATTGCTGCTTTTCAAGGCTCCTTTGTCATTCTCAAAAAGCTACATCAAAATCCGAGGACAATCTGCATTGTGAAAGTAAGGTAAAGGTAAAGGGACCCCTGACCATTAGGTCCAGTCATGGCCGACTCTGGGGTTGCGGTGCTCATCTTGTTTTATTAGCCGAGGGAGCCGGCGTACAGCTTCCGGGTCATGTGGCCAGCATGACTAAGCCACTTCTGGCGAACCAGGGCAGTGCATGGAAACGCCGTTTACCTTCCCGCCAGAGTGGTACCTATTTATCTACTTGCACTTTGATGTGCTTTTGAACTGCTAGGTTGGCAGGAGCAGGGACTGAGCAACGAGAGCTCACCCTGTCGTGGGGATTCGAACCGCTGACTTTCTGATCGGCAAGTCCTAGGCTTTGTGGTTTAACCCACAGTGCTGCCCACATCCCATTGTTAAAGTACTCCCCCTCCAAAAAAAATCTCTTAGTGTATGCATTTGTTTGCTAGGAGTTGCACCTCTGCTCACTCGCTAACCCCCCTGCCTTCCCCCCCACACATTAACCCCATAGAGCTTCCCCTTCCCACCCAGTGGAATGACTAAGCCTGCTTCTCACAACTGGGTCCTGGTGCACAATGCCCTTTTGAGCTGGAAAAAAAACTCCAGATCATTTTGCTTAACTGGTTGGGGGATTGCAACAATTCTGGTTCTCCCGTCACACTGGCATTTTAAGTGAACGTATGCTGCTGCGCTGCGTACATGCATGCCATGTGCACAAGAGCTCTTTCACATTGCCTAGATAGGTATTACTGCTTTGCATGTGTGTGTTTTGCAGCCAGTCAATCTCTATGTCCAGTTTGACCACAGAAGAGGCTGAGATAAGATGCATTCGTCCCACCAGTCGCCTTTTCATACCAGCATTTGATCAGCTTATATATGTTGGGATACAAACTTATTGAAAACCTGTAAACCTATGCAGCTTTCCTTGGTGATACGTTCCATTAAATTTGCTCTTATTTACGAATCAAGATGCACGATATCTGGCTCAGGTTTGGTAAGAACATTTCCTCGCAAAGGGTTGTGAAGGCAAAGTGTAAGCCTGTTGGCCCAGTATCAGGTCCAATTTAGGTCTGCTGCTACTACTAGGTGCATTGCTCCAGCTCCAGCACCCGCTGATATTGTGGACTTTTAGATTGTGTTTACTTCACTTTCAGCCAGCCGTGTGTTGAAACAC